CCCCTCTCCCTTGCAACCCCCTCCCCGCCCACGTTTGCGGCGGGCCGTCGCTATATGCCCCTCGTCGAAGTTGGATACCAGAAGCGTGGTCTGACAGTCTGCCTACCGAGGCTCGCCTCCCTCGCTCCCTCCATGGCGTCCCCCGTCACCGCCGCCCTGGCGGCCTTGCTGGCCGTCGTCCTGCTCGAGCCCGCCCTCGCCCTCATGGACGACTCGCCCCGGGTAGTCACGGACAGCGGCTCCGTCGTCCTCGGGCGGAGGCTAAAGTCCGCCGGGCTCCGGTCCGCGACCGCGCCCAGGGACTACGCGGCCTTCTTGGGGGTGCCCTACGCCAAGCCGCCCGTCGGGGAGAGGAGGTTCAGGGTGGGTATCTTCAGTGCCAAAAAGTTACTATTAACTCTCTACTTACAGGAGAGAGGGTTTGCGCAATGCGCCCAATCCTGTATCCATCTATATATATTTCAGTACCTTTCAAAACATTAGGCAACTCTCTGAACTCCATCTCATCTCTAACGGTTTCAGGCCCCCGAGCTCGCGCCTCTCCCCGCGGTGGTGGACGCCACAGCACCGACTCCCGTCTGCCTGCAACTCTTCCGTCGGGCCGGAGTCGTGGGGAGCGAAGACTGCCTCACGCTACAGATTTTCACGCCAAACGTACGGTTTTACTCATTTTATTCATTATTCGAGCTCGTGCCTTCTTTTACCTGGAGGCCGTTTAAATTAAGCCGGTATTGGCATTACATTATTTTAATTTATCCGTGCAGTATGATCGGGCTGCTGCCTTAGATGTGATTGTGTATATCCATGGTGGAGCCTTTATGTACGCAGAGGGTCCTCGGACAGGGATGGAGTTCCTCATGGACTACGACGTGGTGGTCGTAAACGTCGACTACCGACTCGGTGTTCTTGGTCAGTAAATATCAGATTCGTTCAATGTCTTTCACTTTATATCGTGTGACAAATATTAGTAACTTCTCCAGCCAGTCACACACTCCGGTAGACGTGGAAAAGTGTGTATTTTGCAAGTATAACAAGTGTCGCTTTGCACCAGGTGGCTGACTCACGCACTTCCGTAGTTCTACTGTACCGCATGCATGCACGGGTGCGCTCGGGCTTGCTTCTCCTCGCCGCCCACGCGCCTCCTTGTGGCTCCCTGCGAGTGGGCAACCCGCATGCACGCGTGCGTGCGGTACAGTATAACAACGAAAGTGCGCGGCATAGAGACCCACCTGGTAGGCACACAAGTGGTCTATAAATAGCCATTTGTTCGCGCCTACAAGCAGTTGTGAAAAAGTTGTCAAGCGGTGGTTCTTAGACCGCGATCATTTCTGTTCCAGGATTCCTGAGCTTCGAGGACGAAGAGTTGCCCGGCAACGTCGGTATGCTGGATCAGGTTGAGGCCCTCCGGTGGGTGCAGGAAAACATCGCCTACTTTGGCGGCAACAACAAGAGCGTCACCCTGATCGGTCACTCGGCCGGGTCTGCCAGCGTGCTCCTGCACACGCTGTCCCCGCTGTCCGAGGGCCTGTTCCACAAGGTGATGGGGGCGAGCGGGTCGCCGATGAACCCCTGGACGCAGCAGCTGTCGGCGCTCGCCAACGCCGAGCGCGTCGCCGAGCTGGCCAACTGCAGAGGGGCCAACACGGCAGCAGTGGTCAGCTGCCTTCAGGCGACGAACGCCTCCGAGCTGGTGGCCCTGCAGTCGCACTTACAGGTGCGTGCGAAGGCGTGATCGAATTCTAGCACAAAAGTCACCCAAGCAGGATGCTGTTAGTAAAATTGTTCGTTTGGTTTTTGTGTTTTGTCAGGGCTGGCAGCAAAGTCCGTTCTCCCCATTCGCTCCCTGTGTGGACAGTAAGGCCGAGAGGCCGTTCCTACCAGACTACCCCGCGCGCTTGCTGGAGAACAAAAAGGTCCTGACGGACGTGCCGCTGCTGCTGAGTGTGACCAGGGAGGAAGGGCTGTACCCTGCTGCCGGTAAATACATGACACCATGTAGAATGTAGGTTGTAGTTCACGCTCACTTCTCCCAAAGTTTTAAAAGTTACGTGTCAAGCATTTTGGAAAATCGGATGAAAGGCTCCAGATTGTGCAATTTAAGAGCCGGTTCGAGGTACAGCGCCTAGGTTTTGCATGAGGCATCCTTGATAGTTAAAGTTCAAAGTGGGTTAAGACGCTCGAGACGTTCGGCAGTTGACTCACCATACATGAAATGAAGCGAGCAAGGGGTCGAGCCAATGCGTCACAATTCTGGCATGAACTTACCTTACCTTTCTAGTCTACAGAAGTGCCTTGGTGTCCTTGTTCAGAGTTCATCTTCAACGACACCTTGGTCCAGGAACTGGACGAGAAATGGTTCGACGTGGCCCCGAAGCTACTGCACCTCCACGATGACCGTATTGACGGGACTTCCCTTTCCTCCGTCATGCAGGAGATTAGAGAGCACTACTTCCACAATGCGTCCCTGGAGCACAGCCGAAAGCAGCTCATACAGGTAGGGTCAAAAGACAATAGAATCTTCACAACGACGGCAGGTATATCGGGTGTTTCAGGGCGGACACAAGAGTACCGTCTAGAGCCGCAGGAGGTGGCACCTTCTTACAGACGCAAATATTAGGTAAACCCTCCACACTGCTGTGTCCGCTCTGAAACACCCGGTACCAATGAATTAATTGTGAGCAGCGAATAGCTAACGAATCCTGCCAGCTAATTTCGGACAGGACCTTTAACGCCGGTGTGAATGACTTCGCGCTAACCGCGGCGGCCGTCATGTCCTCCCCGGTCTACATGTTCAGCTTCGAGTACCGCGGCCAGTTTAGTTTCTCGAGAGCCTTTTCCAATGGCAACACGGCTGATCTCGGTACGAGTAGCTATAGTGCTCTATTCCCGATTGAGGGGTACAGTACAGTAAGTGAAATCGAGATGTGCGTTTGATCGTTGTATGGTGTGCTTTTTGTTTTCTCCAGGCGTGTCCCACATGGACGACTATCAGTACATTAAGAGATTCTGGCCCGAGGAATTTCAGACACCGATGGACCTGGATATGCAGAGTCAGCTGTTGGAACTTTGGGTCTCGTTCGCCAAAACATCGTAAGTGACCGTTGCCCATTAAATTGGTGTTTCGAACTCCTTAGTTGTCTCGACCAAGATCTCGTACGAGTAATCGGTTATAATAATTATAATTTTGTACAACTCTTTGCAGGATCCCCGTCTTCGGAGGTGCTAACTGGACACCTCTGCCTAAGACACAGGGCGATGTTTTGCACTTCCTGAGGATTTCCAGCCCAGGAAACGTAAAGATGGCAGAGGCTAAGGACTTTGGGCAGAGCGCTTTCTGGAAGTCCCTTAAAATCAAGGAAAATGGACACGCGTGACGTGTGATTGAAAGAACATTCGAGTAAGAAATTTGAGTACCTAAAGAAAGACATCACTTGCAGTAGGAGAAGAGAGCGAGCAAGTGAGGGAGAGAGAGAAAGGGAGGAGGGGGGGGGGGGTAAATGGACCACACTACCGCCAGGCGGGGATCCTGCACACAGGACTATCTCGGGGCATTACGTCCTCTACCTCCTGAAAGGGCGCTGTTGTTCTTGCGACAATAAACGTAGGGAGCACACAGCCAGCGCGCTCTACCGGTTCTCAATGCAAAGTTGGCTTGTGCGAGAGGATCTTTGATATCAACCACCCCACTCCCCTCCCCCTCCGCCCGCATACAACCCTCATCCCCCCACCCCCTCCTTGTTCCTCTCCCTCCGCTGGAGCCTGAGCCCTGAGCCCTTTTTGGATACGGTCCAGCTCAATGGCGAGGAAAACACCTTCGAGTGAAAGCTCTATGTAGTCGTCTACTTTTATCGAGGTGCTCTCAGGTGGGTGATTTCCCCCTTCACTCCCCGCCGCCCGTCCCCCTCCCTTCTGCTCTGCCGAATTGGGCGCAGGGAATGAATGGTTGTAAGGCAGAGGCGAGGGGTGTGGAGGGGGTGGTTTGGGACAGCTGGGAGGTCTCTCTGGACGAGCTTCCTCGCCCCTGGCTGGAGTGGACGACTCTTTATTCCTGTAAGATTCTCCTTCTCCAAAACCCCAACTCGGTCATTGGCCCCACGGGAGGGTCCTGCTTGCAATGGCAGCAGCAGTCGGAGAGGCCACTGCCTGGCGACCCCGACGGGTATAGGTGTATAGACTGACCGCGGCCCCCGGGCGTTTTCTGTAGCATGCGCTCTTGAGTTGCGGGTTTGCCTACTCCCCTCGCCCGTACGGCGCCGTGGCCCCCGCGGTCCCAGCGAGTATGCCATTCCACAGCAATTGAAAGCCATGCAAAGATACACCCGGTGCGAAGAGTCTCTCCATACCGTTGCACTTCACGCCGGGCTCGGCGTGGCCGGCCCTCGCCGCTGCACTTCCCGACGACAACGTACCGCAAAACTAAGCTTAAGAATAAAATTTGGCAAGAAAAACAAACACAATCGACTAAACCTTGATGCTTTCCCCCAGGAAAACAAATGAGGGCCGGTAAACACACCGTGGTGCCCGGAGTTGCCACCTCGGCGCGATGTAGACAACTGCAGCGCACCTCACCTCCGACCTCCGGTCCGGACCCTCCCTCCCGGGTGGTCCGCGCTGCAATTATTCAGCATAAAGCTCCGGGTGGCAATCACCTTCGCACCCGGCTGCAACATTCCTCCCCCGCGCCGCCGAGGGTGGTGGGGGGCGGCGGCCAGCGGCTCGGCGGGCGACGCCAAAGAAGTGAGTTTCGTTGTTGTAAAGTGCCCCGCAATCGACGGCGGCGGCGGCCCGCAGCAGGTCCCGCAGGGGCTGCGCGTTTATTGCTCCCCCCCCCCCCTCTGCGGCAGAGTTTTCATTTTTTGTGTCCGCCGGCCGGCGGCGCCTCCCAAGGCAATAGTCCAGCACTTCAAGTCAAAAAGAGGCCCTAACCCTGAACAAAAA